GGGGTGTATAGTACACATGAAACAGGAAAATCACGAAAGTCAACAACCGGGAAAAATTTTTTTCCCAACGCGGCAAATTTCTCTCAAAGCCACATACGACCCCCCCTCTCCAACAACCAAATACGACCCCCTCCCCAGCCGAAAAGTACGCCCTTATGTGTTTCACGCAACGATGCTGTACCCTGCTGCGTTAAATGAGAAAGGCTTGTCCCCAGCCAAGCCTGGAACCTGCACATCACGCTTACTGACCTATGTATGTCATGTGCCGATCATTACGCCACCAAGGTCTAAGAGGGTACAAGGGGGACCTGATGGTGTGATAATAGTTAGCGCACTGAACTGGTAAGCGGGAAAGGTACAGGTTGAAGTTCTGTTTGTGGTCAAGGCTCGCGTCAAAAACTCAGCGTTCCTTCAGTTACAAAAATGCACTTTGTGAAAAAAAAGGTTGACGCCTTCGCCGCTGATCAATCCCTTTGTGGGATGCGGCACGCATTCTACTTCCATTCAGAATCGTAGTGGCTTACTGAATGCGATGTGGCCTATACAATGACTTGCGGGGTCACCCAGCCTAAGTACAAACCAGTGTTTTTATCCTCCCGAACAAATCTGAAACTAATTGACCGTCTCCGGGCGTCGGAGGCTGAACTGGTCTGGACGAGAGCCGCTTCGCGCGCGGTAAGCATCTAAGCTTAAAAGAAGCAGCCGGTTTGCAACTAATAGCATAAAAAGAACAATCAGGACTCAAACAGAACTTACTTCCCAAGATTCACAAGTTCCTGATCGATTGAAGGGTCGTCAAAAAGGAAGGCACTTGAGCAAGAAATACTCCCAAACTCTGGCATTATCGTGTTCAAACTTTCTTGAACTCGATTCGTGAATGTAGTGAGGGGCTCTTCAATGCAACCGGCTTCACCATATTTCGCTATCGCATCCTTGACCCTTCCATCCACGAGAAAAGCCATTGGAATGTATCTGTAAATACAAAATTGATCTGAGGTCTGCCTTGCACCATAGATTTTGCGAAGGACTTTTTTTTCTAGAGAATCTAGAGAATTACTAACAAAATGTGGCTTTACCATAAAGAAGAAAAGTCCCGAACGATAGTGAAAGGTGAATAATCTACCTCTCGAGTTTCTTCGGGATTTGGTAGTAAGCATTGGCTGACTTCCGCAGAAAACCCTTTGCGTAGTATTCTGTTCTGGGCTGACCCATATGGAGAAAAAGCACATGTGTCTTTCCTTTGATCACGTCACTGCATGTTTGGCATTTCCTTTCATATATTGTCGTCTTCTTGAGTCCTTTCCATATCGATTGGGTGAAGCTCCTCCCGTAGCCATGAATCATTACAGGAGGTCTGCAATCGAAACCACGAACCTGGAATGAGATTCAGATGATGATCAGAAAGAAGCTGGAAGTGAATGCGAGGCTTAAGCGAAAAATGAGACAGCATGTTCAAAACTGAGGACTTCAGAGTAGCCGTGTCCTCAGTTCTCAGAGACTAAAGGAACTGAGAACATAGAGCTAAAAACTTGAACTGCTCATATGAACAAACCTGCCTGTCACAACTTACTATCCTCGACTAAATTCCTCCCAAGAGACGAGGTACTCGTGAGGGTAGCTATACCGTAACAGCGGGCCCACTCAGATCGGCTCAGATCGCCAAAGAGGTGCAAAGCAACAAAATGTTCGGAAACATACCACACCTTCCAGCTTCTTTCGAGACTTTTGAATTAAGCATTTCGAGCTTATCTGGATATTTACAACATTGAAATCACTGGGAAGTCTTTCCTAACCCGGCATTATTTAGCTCCACAGTTCTTGCTACCTCTGCTTAGGACAAATTCAGCGTAGAAAAGGGTACATGCGCACTCCGGTCAAATCGCTGTTGGACTCTCGGTCTGATCAACAAATCGCACCATTACTCCGGGAGCAGGGTACGCCATCGTTGTGATCATCACAAGGGGCGGAGGGGTCGTATTTGGTCACAGAAAAAAATTTTTTGATAGTTGATTTCTCTTGTTTCACGACGCTGTTTAAAGAGGCGGGGGTCGTATTTGGTCAGTCCAGGGACGCACTACTATTTCCGACACTTGAAAATGATAGTTTAATTCTGACGCTCGATTCGATGAGGAAGGACAGAGGGCTGGGAGGGGGGGGTCGTACCAACTCCCAAGAAGGGGGTCGTTTTTAGTTAGTCAGTCGGGGGGGGGGTCGTAATCTTCAGAAAATGATCACAACGCGATTGGCGTGCCCTTGCTCCGGAGTGGCTTTATCAGTCCCATACTTGTCAGTAGAGATAAAAACAGTGAGTTGCGCATCAGTTGGACCCCGCGCGTTATTTTGAAGACCTAATAGCAATCCATGTGCCACCACCATTCTGAATGGAAGTAAAGTACGTGAACCACCACTGAAAATGACGGTTTCACTTCCAATTTTGATCCTATTTTCCGAGGGTTACCTTCCTCCCACGCAAGCTACTTATGCTACTAAAAATCTACGACGTCTTGGCGCTAGCGCTCTCCTGAACAGCAGTTTTCTTCAAAGAGTTTCAATAAGGGCACTGAATATCCAAATAATACAAAGGCAATTTTATTCTCTATAGAGGGCGAAAGAGAAAATCTGAAATATCGCTCCAACTCGACTCTCGCGACTAAGTTCACCTCGACAAAACCCCTAGACGTTGATTCTTTCTGTGTTCAAATGTATTTCAGTTTCGTCGCTATTATCATAATCCGTTATAGTATGGCGCTTTACAATTACTGATAAGAAGCCCATAATTTGTTTTCCCATAATCTTGTGTCTGCGAGAGTAATCACTAATATAACACTCACAAAATTCTGTTGATGACAGGAAGTAACTCTGAACTTTGTCTAAAAAAGGTCTAAAAGGTAGTAGTCGGAACAAAAGTAGTGGAAAACAACGAAAATCTTCCCGGTCGAAAAAAAATGAGGACGCTTCTTTGGTTCTAATTTAATTTTTTAATTTGTGACGCGTTTCCTTTATTAGAAGGACAATGCGGAAAGTGAAGTTAAAGTTGAAACAAACTTCGCGTTCTCAAAAGTTTTGTCCAACCACAAGTGGAGAATAGAGCGCGTTTTCCAACCACAACTTAGCCTTCGGAGTGAAAACAGGCCACAAGCCTCTTTTTTTCAGAGTTCATCTAAACTAATTGAAAAGTCCCAGTAATCTCGTCTAATCGGCGTTTACTACAGCTGACTACAACTTCTGTGAAACTACCGGGTCATTTCACTTGTCTGTTAAGGACCTTAGTCCAAAAATAACTCACATCAAATCATGGAAGAACTCCAATGATTGCTTTGCACTATTCGTCGACACATTTGACGCGAGGATCAACATGGACAATACAACCGTAACATCCTCGTGAGGAGCGTTTATGGTTCGGCGGCTCCTGCAGACTTGTGATTCGCGCTGGAGCACGTTTGTCATCATCCTTGTTCGTTGACTATTAGGACTGGTTTCAAACCCTTCACCTTCAAGGAAACTGAATATGTTCTAGAAGACTCGAATAGTTTTATAAAAAGGGAAACTAAAAGGCAAACGAGTTGGGTGGTTGCATTAGAACGATCGGCGAACAGGTCCATAAGAAACGTGCTCGACCGCTCATGGCAGAGTCGTAGTTCCCCTTCCACCCCCAAAAGCTAGATCAAAACCGATATTGTCCTAGCCACTGGACCCTGACTGCAAAGCGCTAGCAACTACGGACATTTCCGCGCTAACGTAGTTCGGGGAGACCACTTGGTCGCGCCTCTATGTCTACTTTTCTAAACAGAGCTTACGCACGAAGGGCGGACGACCAGTTCAGACTTCACGATACGCGCGTCACCGCGGAGCTCAATCGCAGCTTTAACTGCTCATCCGACATTGGGCGAAACTTCTAGACTACAGCTGTTGCCCGACTCTTGTACAGCACTTTCTTAAGAAACGCATATGTAAGCTCCTGGACCAACTCCACACAAGGTCTGGTTGTATCCACCAGTAAGATTCTGAAGATTTAATTTCGTGTAGAAATTACATAAATAATCTATATATTCATCAGAACCAGCCGATTGCAAACAAGAAATAGGAACGTGCGGCGCATCGCGTC